TTGGTATTAATACCTCATACCATAGCAACAATTGGTATTAATACCCCATACCATAGCAACAATTGGTATTAATACCCCATACCATAGCAACAATTGGTATTAATACCCCATACCATAGCAACAGTTTGTATTATTAGCCTATACCATGGCAACAGTTGGTATTAATACCCATCCAATGGCTTTAATTACCCTATTACAATAGAAATAATGTATGCTAATAAGTATACACATGATTTAAAGTTGCAGAAAATATGAGAAATACTGATAATGTTGCAATAGGTTGGTTCTCTTAAAGCTCTAATGATCAATCAACACAAGGGGTGAGCAAATAGTATTCATACAGCTACATGAACTGGTGAGGTGGTCATGCAACCCTGCTATTGATTGAAAAAGGTATTTTATTATATATCATGATACAAACATAAAGCTACTGTCTGTATACAATTGATGAACTGTTCTTAATTTTATGCTTCATTGAATTGAACTCCAACGAAAATGTCATATACATCCAGTAGGCGCTTATCGTAGTACTAAATAAAATTGTTTTCAGAAAATGAATGTACTGCACAGGGCTTTAAAAGTAGAATGATACTTGATACGTCTGTTTTGGGCATATCAGCATATTTTTGTGCAAGCTGTGGTGTTTGCCTATAATTATTTGTTTTTTAGTCAACATTATGTGGACTTTTTAAATTCACTGTTTCTTAATAAATGGATAAACTGTACAGGGCATAAAAAACATACCGGTAAGCTTGGGTTTTCACCAATTCATCTAATACTGAGGCAAACTTACCTTTGTGGTACCAAATAAGTAAACACATGATGATATGTGTTATGTACCATGGCATATACAGTCAAACCCTGTGTATAGCGACCACCAAAGAGTGGTCTTCATATGGAGGTTTGATTAATTTTTTTTATAGATCACCAATTTCCACATTTTACATAATATTTGTCCAGGAAATGAGACAGTACTGTTTGCAAAAAAAATACATATTTATTTGAGTTGATCAAAATCAAATAATTTGACTTGAGAGGAATTTAAATATTATCGTATTTTGTCTCTAAACAGAGGCGAATCTACAAAAATATTGCTGAAAAAGTGGTCGTTATACACAGGTTTGAGTATTACGGAACGCTGCATTAAACAATAATGTGTCTTACATCACTAAAACTGCTCACCCCTCAACAATATTAATTTCCACACAATAGAGATCATGATGATGTCAGATCAAAATCTCCACAAATTACTCTATAGTAACAACTAACTATATAATATGGTTTTTGGACCTTATTTTAAAAGTTAATACATTTCATTTTAGAATTTAAATTAAATAAGTTTTTGGTCCAAAAATTAAAAGTAGATGAAAAAATTTATTTTAAAAAAAGAAATCTAATTTGAATTAATGAACTGAAAACTATTTCATGATGTAGGCAGGTATGTTACTACGATTAAAATTATTGACCTTTGACCTTGATTGGATATTATCATGGTTACACATTGATGACAAATTCAGGATTGGTGTAAGAAAATCCAGAAAATTCGGATTGGTCTAGATTCATGATGAACAACTTGTCCGTTGGTGTCAAACATGGTGCTTCTTTTGTAAACTCTTTGTCAAAATTACTCACATCTTGTGGATTTCTCTGTGATGGACAAAACAGAAAAAATTATTCAATTAGCTCAGAAAATCATGTTAAGATTGGAAAAAATGCATGATGACAAATGTGTTTGTATGAATCATGGATTTGGAAATATTCAATATACTTTGTTGAAATCATTTACTTATTAATTAATTGAAATGTGACAAAAATGTAACAAGATAACGGTACAGAAAATTACCTAATGACCCAAGTCTAAAAACACTACAATAAATATTCAGAGATTAACTCTTTGAATGCCATCATTTTTCCAAGCAAATTTGGTTGCAACATTTCGTCTGTTTTTATGTTATTTTCTATATTTTATAATAATAATTTTGATTCAAATAGACATAATTCCCGATTGGCTACAAATCTTATGAAAAATTTAAGAAAATGATTGAAAAATTATGAGGGTTTAAAGGTTTATGGTGACAATAATTGATTTTGGTGCTTGAAGTAACAACTGTTAAACATTTTAAAAACATTATTAAAACTATTACTAGTATACACATTCTTGAATTTTCCAGAGTTCCATCAAATAAATAATAAACAGTGAATAAAGATTAAGAGTACCAGAAACAATGTCTTTGCAATTTTCCAAATGCATTGAAGTTTAATTTGGCAATTTTTTGATTGGAAAATAGAAAACACATACAATGGAAGGTTCATAATACAAAAAATAGTTTGGGTATCCAAGATTTATTCTTCCATATTTAAAACAAGCCAGTCACAAAAAATAATTTACTGGCATGTCGGAAAATTCCGATTCCAAGAGTGTGATGGATGCAACACCTTTCAAGATAACAGCCACCGAAAAAAATAATCATTAATCATATATCTTCTTGGATAATCAATATATTCACTTGGTAGAATATTTTTATAATTATTATTAAATAATTTGGCTAATTACACTTATCTAATTATGAAAACAAACATATATCATCAAAACATAACTTTCAACAAGACCACATACCAAATTTGTTTTATTAAATGTGCATGTGCATACCAAAGTCTAGGGTAGTCTCATATTTTGAACTATTTTTTATGCCAGATTCTTGTACATTTTTATTCACCACAATAAGAATTATTTTTCAAGAGAAATTGTTCAAAAATTTATTTAAATGGTTTGCTTGCAATGGATCCAGCATTTAATACTTTATAATGTGGGGTACATGTATGTCTAGTAATTGTGGAACGAAAATTAATAGTACATTATTCTGAATTACACGCAAAGCAACAAATATTCAATGTTAATGACGCAAGACGTGATTGATGACAACCATCGTGTTAGATAGTCTCCGATAATAATGGATTCCCAATGGTATAATACATATGTACTTAATGGGGGGTTCCCTATAGTGCTATAGATGTAGTTAATGATAGGAACTCTCAGAATACAAATCTTATTTAGCACTGTGAGAGTTGAGCTTAACGTGAATGTGACATGAATGTATAAATATGTACAATATAATTGGTATTTTATAGCATGTAAAGTTTATGAAATTTTAACAAAAAAATGAATTGGATGCTGATACGACAAGGGTGAGGAAATCGCGTAACTGTTCAAACTTTCACGCATATTTAAATTTATAAATACATACATTAATGTTATCAATGTGATAGTTGGACATGGTCTGCAGCAGTATACGATGACTGTCACTCATCTTTTGAATGGTGACATATGTACAATATACTTAATATTACAAATAACAGTATACAAATTAATTATGGATTTTTGTTGATATACATGGGTTGTGATAGTATCAATTCAATTCTTATAAGTACATGGAATATGTGACCCATTTAGTGAGAACACAAATATACCAGTACTCATAGCTTGTTTTCACCAAAAAGTAGATCAAAACAGTAATAAATTTCTTTTTATAACGCATTTGTTTCTACTGAATGTATATATTTTTTTAAGTATCAATTAAATGAATACCATCAACCCATATTAATGATATAAAATAAATGACTTATTACAGACACCAACAGAATTTCCAAATTTAGTTTGGAATCTGTCGAATGCTTCCTGTTTTAAGCGATGGTGTCATGGCTGAAATGAGAGATTCAATAATTAGAAAAAATCAACTTGCCACTATATTGGGGATTGTTTCTCAGTGTAGGTAAAGTTAGTAAAATGAGGATTGGTTAAAGTGAACCCGCGGAATACTTCCTGATCCATATTCATGATCATAAGCTTGTCTGTTGGGGTAAGGTTAGGGGGTGCTCGGGTAAAACAAGTATCAAAATTTCTTGTATCGCCCGGTGAACTCTGTTAGGAAGTAAAAATATTTGATTATACAAATTAAAGATCAAAATAGAGAAAAAAATATAGAAAATAGTAAGAAATAAGGAAAATAACAAAATATAGGAAAACAAATGATGAGGGAAAATATACAATAAAAATTTGAATAATATTGAATTTTAAATTTACTGGGTAAGATAAAATCATGATAAAATAACTTACAATTTTGGGTTTGAATGGTGGCTGAACTTCACGAGCAGCAAGTTTATCCCAGTCAATTCTTCTGAAGAATGGATGGTCCTTGATGTCCCGTTCACCAGACACTGTACATCCAAGACGTTTAGCAGGATGCTTGGTTAGAAACTACAAATACAGATGGTGAAACTATTTACAACTAAAGCATATACGCCTCTATTGAATATACCTCAAGTAAAATCTTTATGCTTTGATGTGTGAACTGCATAATCAGACAGCTGGAAAATACGTTTTTAAACAAAAAATGATTTTTCTAGTACTTTGCTTGATATTATCATGAATACAGATCATTTAACATCATTATCACTTTTAATTCATTATATGGATTTTAATTTTGATATTTTCACTGATAAGTGAAATTAATCCATGTAAGCAGTGAAATAAAATATAACAGAAATAAAAAAAAAACACATTGCTACACTGCCAAGTGTATAAACTTTAAACCCAATGCAGAATGTACCGGTACTCAAAATAATGAAATGGAATACTGGTAAAATAAATTACTCATTTGACAGCACACTAGGTAATTTTGGGTACATTTTTAGTTTAAAAAATATGAAAAATTGACAGCTTATGCATTTTCAACTTACGTTCTTGGCCACTTTTTTTTCTTATATTCTTCAATATTTCTTGATAAGTTTGTAGTCAACAATTTTCATTTTCAATTTGAGTACATTTTTGGTTTTACTCAAAAACATTTGGTTATTTTTGTCCCAAAATCTGAGGGAAAGTGCAGACTATAAACATGACTATTTAGTGAATTTGTGAAGAAAAGATTAAAGTGTGGTTCCTCTCAACATGTATATTCAAATATTTACTTACACCCTTGCATAATAAAACAGATTCTTTACTCATTGATTTGGGATAGCTGACATTGTGCTCCATTATTGACTGGAACAATTCATCCTCATCTTCACCATCAAATGGTGGCTGAAACAACAAACAAACAAACAAATCAGAAAATATGTTGACTTGTGAGAGCTGAAATTACAAACAAACAAATCAGAAAATATGTTGACTTGTGAGAGCTGAAATTACAAACAAACAAATCAGAAAATATGTTGACTTGTGAGAGCTGAAACAACAAACGAACAAATCAGAAAATATGTTGACTTGTGAGAGCTGAAACTACAAACAAACAAATCAGAAAATATGTTGACTTGTGAGAGCTGAAACAACAAATAAACGAATCAGAAAATATGTTGAAATGAGAGAGCTGAAATTATAAACAAACAAACAAACAAACAAATCAGAAAATATGTTAATTTGTGAGAGCTGACACAAATCAGAAAAATATAGTTGTATATGGTTATCTTTCCTTAATTGGAAATTGTGTGTCACGTTATAATTTGAACACTGTTTACTTCAGAAGTAGGAGTGCTACCAGAGCAAACGTTCACACACAGCTACATGTAAATATTCATCGTTGCCTATTTGAGCTGTTATCTCACATGAAATAGTTACTACAAGCAGGGGTTAGATGTACCATAATAAAGTTATCATAAGAATACAACAAAAATATGCACTTGGGCAGTACGTTAACGCATCAATATCTGCTATGCGTTGGTCAATACGATCATCTTACTGCGTTTGTGTCTATTTTGCGGTATTCTTGTAATAACATTTATGACATCACCTTGGTTGCACATCTGTCAGATTTGTTCATTTCTCAACTATTGTTGAGATGGGTTTGAATGATCATTTATTTCCATTCAATTGTTTATATTTATTGCATGTAACGTGATTCTTTGTTATGAATACGTTGATAATTTATGCATCTGTGTTGGCACCACAACTTTGTTACTTTGTTTCTGTTATCTATTGGTTGTGCATGGTACTTTTAGTCTCGATTTTGTGAGCAGTGTAGTAGAAGTATATGGACAGTATTGCTGTTTCACCACTGAATATTCATTAATAAATTTGCTCCCTAATCTATTCTGGGAAACCTTCAACTGTTTAGTGGGACACAACCACAACTATAACTTCATTTTTTTCAAATTTTCAAAATTTTTGCCATATTTAGTAAAAAAAAATATTTCTTCATGAAAATGAGTAGCCTGATTGGTTATATGGACCTCTATTATTTATATATATCTAATACCTTTTTTTTTATATTGGCAAATAATTTGAAATATTTGTTGTCAAAAAGCTGTTGAGCGACACTCTATTGGCTCATCTGTCTTGTGTCAATTTTCACCTTTAGAGTAGAAGATCGATGACCTTGCTCATTTCCATAATCGACCCGTACCATGGTTACTGACAGTTGCCTATATCATGCTGTGACGCTGACTATGAAACTTGCACGTATCACAATACTATGAAAGTTGTATATCCTGGATGGTTTGAGCAAATTTCCACATTTTGAGAAGTTCTTTTTGAGCGCTGTGTATCCATGAAAAAACATCTTACCAGAGACAACAATTATTAGTTGAAAAAATATTTAATTTACAAAAATATACAAGAATATGGTACAGTAGAATCTACTGGCATTATATAAGATCTCTGTAAGATATATAGTAATCTTTCAGGATTCCTAAGAGGTCTACTTTATGTTTCATTAATAATCTTTCAGGAGACCTAAGGGGTCTAATTCTACATAAACATTTTTTTCCTTTATTATATTAAAAGCTACAAGGCAATGACTCACCTGGCCAGCCAACATTTCATAGATTAAAACACCATAGGCCCACCAATCCACAGACTTACTATATGGTTGATAGGCAACAATCTACAAAAATCAAAAGAAATATTGAAACAAATTAGAAATATTCATAATAACAGAACTTAATATATAAATTTATATTTACATTTAATCACATACTTCAGTGAAATACTGTTCAGTGACTGACACATCAACTCCTTTAGCACCAAAGTTCACTTTTGTTACCATTCATAAAATAAATTTGCATAATTTTTCCATATTTTTTATGAACACTTTGTTCAAGATCTGTATCCAATGAGAAATTATGTCCATTTAGTTCAAAATTAATCAAAAAAAATTATATAAAATTACATATAAATGTGCAAAATATAGCATTAAAATTTTGGCGGGAAAAAATATGGTGCACTTAGGGATTGGTCAGTTACTTCGGCCTAGGGGGGTCGGTGGATCAGTAGGGGGGGTTACCCTGTTTTTGATTGTGCGAATAGGGGGGGTCATCCTGTTTTTGATATCATGTTTTCCAGAATTCACACACGCGCTCATGCATATATTTTTAAAAAAATTATTTCAGAACAAACGATAAAATCAAAGAAAGCTTAGAAAGAACTCCCATGTG